TCAACAATAATAGTATAGTAACAATAATAATTTTTAAAATAATATCAATTTATTATTAATTCGGTCAGTTACTCAATTGCTTACTTCTTTACTTGCCTATTTACCCGGAATAAGTAAATATTATTATTTGAGCGATAATAAAATCATCGCAAACAGTAATGTTTGAGGTTTGATAGGCAGCTGGACCGTTTGTTGACAACTCTGGCGTAGCGCACGTTCAAAATATATCAGACTGTGCTATCTGACACTCGTGCCGAAATCTTTCCTAAGTTGGATCAGAGGAGGAACATGAGCCTCAGCAACTATTCTAATTCTTTCCTCTGAGGTGTGTCCTATGATCATGAGCTGTATACCATTAGTTAGTGCCATCACATATTCTCCAGTATATGCGCCCTTTTTCAGGGGACGCCTGAGTGGTCGTTTCCTCTTTCTCTTGAGTACCGCGAATGTCCAGCGAACAGTATGCCCTGTCCAGCGAATTTAACAACTCCCTCAAGTGATCGCAGTAACATCCTGCACTTTGTAGTGGAAGTTTCAGTGATTATTTGGCTGTGAGAAAACACAGTTCATTCCATTATCGGATTATCTGTTGGTTACTCTTTTCACATGGTTAATCGTCAATTTTTTGAGAAAAAAAAAAAGAAAAGGAAACGAGGATCAGTCATTCACCCACAGATGACGAATACCAATAATATTAAAAAGGCGGAACTGATTCCTGCCCCTATGCCATCTCAGTTATGAGCCTCTTTTTATTCTCCCTTTCTCTTTTTTCTAAAGTTTTTTAAACATTTCTGGGTATTTTGAAAAAGAAAGAGTCTGGTTGGTGGATTTTTTCTTTGGTTAAAAATTTATGACATCTTTGATAATTTATGCAAATTATATTCTCCGCAGATTGACTTAATTTCGATGCCGTTGGATGGAAAGATTCGTGTTGCGATACCACAATAAAGCACTGCCAATGATTTTTGGGGCTCACGACGCATATCCATTGTGACATTTACGGCAGCAGTAGCATTGCTCATGAAAAAGCTCCGGATCCATGGTATTCTCTTGCTTTTCCTCTCTTCCTCCATCTTCGTTCTGCAGAGATAACAAAAGAATAGACTGGTGTCCCTGTCCATTTGGCAGCTTATCAATCACTAATTAATTAACCCAACCATCGAAGCGACCCATCCTTGCGCACATAAAGTGATTGATTGTTGATCAAGCAAAATATGCAAATTAGCAGTGTAATTATTGCCTTTTTTTTCTGGATTCTCATTTGAATTCATTAATTGCTAGAAATACCAGTGCCACTCGGCCAATCGATGTGGGAGTTCCATATTATTGATGTTACTAGCATGTTTTCGTACTTGAACGCAGCTATTTCAGGATCTTCAGTCCTGGACAGTTAGTGCCAACCATTTATTTTGCGTACTAGGTCGTAAAGGCAAATCCAGATTGGTTGTTTTAATTACAAAGAATATCAGGACTTGATTAAATAGAAATATTTATGCAGCTATGAATATCAAGTTTCCACCTCCGTACAATCGCTGAAAACTCTCGGTGCTTTGAGCAATCATATTTCAAACATATCTATTCTAAAATTTCTTTGTTTCAAGCATGTACCCAACAAGTACTGACCGTCTGCGTTGTGCACACACGTACCTCTTCAAAAATCGCTGGGAAGCCGGTCCTTTTCTTTCCGATGAGCTGGCAGTGTCCATCGACTGTCAGCAGTGTGTTGAATGATTCTGACCACGATACCTCAACAATAATTCCATTTTTTAGTGTTTCCCCACAGTCAGTAGTCATGCGCTAGCTGTTTAACCAGATAAAATTACGAATTAGGCAAATGTACAGGATCATTAAGTTCATCCTTTTTAACTTTATTAATTCATTTTAAATATACCTTACCGAAACCGCCGTAATGACGATGTCCAGTTTTGACACTTGAAAAAAAATGGGACGAAATGCTCCCATTCTGTTATGATTCTACTCCTTTAATACAAAAAGGTTTAATTCTCGAAAGAAATTCACACATTTACATTAACAATCATTTGGAAAATTTTCTTAAAACAAAATTTTGCGAAAATACCGTATGTTCCCTTCATAATTCTTCACAGTATGTCTTTCCTTTTCCCCACTTTGATAAGTAATTTACAGAAAAAAAGTAATTCCACTAAAAAAAGATACAGCTGCAGGTGTCTTAGTGTGTATATATGCGTATGAGTGCTTGTGTATGCATCTCTGAATACGTAATATCTATGTTTGCTTGTGCTGTGTAGGTGTATGTGTAAATGCCTGAGTGTGCGAGAGCTTTCGAAATTTTTTCATACTGTAACGAATTCTATAGGGCAACATCACATGTGCTGGGGGAAGATGCGCAAAAACTTTTTCTTCAAATGCTGTATTTAAAAGTCCAGTTGTCCATCAAGAACAAGCAGGCAGCTCGAGGTACATTTTTAAAAATTTTATCAGCAGTATCTCTGAAACCTGTCTGAAGCCCTCATTTTTTGTTTTATTTATAAAATCTTCCTTCTGTTTTAAAATTGTTCGAAATATTGGTTTTGTGCCTTCGAATGTTTTTGAACAAAACCACAGCACCTCTGTCCTCTCCTAATACTATTATAGGCCAGAAGAGATAACCAAGATTATCGTGATGATTGCCCGGGAAATCAGCACGGGTATCCCACTTTAGCGATGTTATTGGGACAAATAAGCAATGCAAAATTTTTCATTTTCAATTTTCCCAAGAAAAAAAGCAGCAGAAGAAGAGAACAATTTGCATGAATCATTTAACCTCGAGAATTGGCATGCTACAGCCCGGATTGGGCTTATATTTCATGCATCATGTTTAAATTACATTTTAAGATCGAATCTGATGAGATAAGCTCTTTCCCCTCTCCTTCCCTCCCTCCCCCCCTTTCTCTTCGCCCTCAGCCCCTGTCGTTCTCGGACCCAATCGGATGGCATTGGACATCATCATCC